CTGCAAAGATTTGTCCAAATGGCAACGAATTTTACTTTCAATTTCTCCTTGGCACCAAAAACATCTCTCAACTACCACTGTTCATAATCAAACCTAGCGTCCTACGTATGAAAACACCAAAATCCAATTTCTCACTCAACTGTATTATACTCTCAATCTCTGAGCTTCAAAGTCCAAGCATCAGCATCAGAACAAGGAAAGTCGTCTCCAGAGGAAGACCTTCAACTTTTGTTTGAGTCCTTCTTCAATGGGATTCTTGAGGAACTATTTGTGACACCCCATTCGAGTCAAGTGACTTTGGAACATTGGGTTGGTTTGGCATCAACGTCTCTTAGCACCCTTCTGATCGATTTCAAGACCAATGATAAATTTTTGAAAAGATGTATGATTTTCAGTCTTGAAGACACGAAGATCAAGATTTACTCTTTGGAAAAAGATTTTTTGCTTGAAGTGGATGGGACAGTTTGGAGTGGGATGAAGTACTTTGATATAATTCAACAGAAACTGAAAGAAGAGAAGAAGAACAGAAAGTGGATGTGGTCTCAAGCTCTAAGAAGAAATGAAGCACTCTTGTTCATAAAGGACTCCTCTTTCCAATTCTTTACAAAACTCATGGTATCTCGTTGCTCTACAATAGAGAGGTAGTTCAACTCACCAAGGAGGAAGGAGAAGTTGCAACACTATTTGCGAATGTGAAAGAGAATGAGTACTTACATAATTCTCTTTTTAGAGAGAATTTTTTGAACGATTAGCAAAAAATGCTTGGGGAAAAACATATGATCAAGGAGCTTGGACAAGTGTGACTTCTCTCCCATCTACAAATGGTATGTTGGAGAGAAGGCGAGGAAGGAAAAAGAGGTAATATTTTATTAAGGAAACAAGGAATAGATGGATTAAGGAAATATTTGGTTAATTGATTACGGAATTGATCGCATAATTGATTAACGAAACAAATGGTTAATTGATTACGGAATTGATTTTGGTTAAGGAAACATTTGGTTAAAGAAACAAATTCGAATTGGTTTTAAGTTATATGAACATTACATTATTACGGAGATAGTAAAACCTATATAAATATAACTTAAAACCAATAACATTAAACCTCTGTAAATAATGTTTTACTATCTCCGTAATAATCTAATGTTAATATAACTTAAAACCAATTCAAATTTGTTTCCTTAACCAGATGTATCTTAACCAAAACCAATTTCGTAATCAATTAACTATTTGTTTCCTTAATCAATTACGTGATTAATTCCGTAATCAATTAACAAAATGTTTCTTTAATCAATCTATTCCTTGTTTTCTTAATCAAATATTACATTTTTTCCTTCATCTCTTTCTCTCCCACATACCATTTGTGGATGGGAGGGAAGTCACACTTGTTCCCTCCCATCATATATGATTTTTTCCAAACATTTTTTTGCCAATTGTTCCAAAAATTCTCTCTAAAGAG